TTTCCTCGAAGAACCATACCCTAACAGTGAAGTAAGCATTATTGGCAAAAAAATTACTGTAATATTATGCTGTAAGTGGCATTTCCTCATATTTATACTTTATTCAAGCCAATACCTCTACTATTACATAGTAGTCAGATACATTGAAAATAGACTACGACCCAGTCTCTCTTTTTCCTTGGTCCGTCAAGCAAAACGCGCGACACACGCAAATAACCACGCACGTGACTGAAGGCGAGGCTCAACGCTTGCGCGCGTGTGCACTCCCCTCATTAAATCTGAAGAAAAAGAAAGAAAGCTCGCAGTCTACATTGAAAACAACAAGGACTATAATCAAACCTCCATGTGCGACCACCCCTCTTAAGAAATCATCTATCCAAAACATCAAAATTTTCCTGGTCAAAGCCTTTCATTAGCAACCTCTTGCAAACGACCGGCTCCAGTGAGAGACCACAACAACCTCTAACCCTTAAAACCCTAATTTCAAATATTCAAATTCTTGTTTGTTTTCCCTATACATTCCTTATAGAGGTATATAATTGGGAGAAGTAGTCCAAGGTTCGACCAGATTAATCTTCTGTGATAATTTCTTTAATTCTCATTACCAATCTGTTTTATAAAGCATTGATTTTACAAGGAGAGTTTAAATGTTGATCCTTCTCAGGGCTTAAAGGGTTTAAGGATGACGGTTTTATAATTTTCCATTGTTTTCAACCTCTTGTAAACGACCACTATTTTTGTCTTGAAGCATGGTTTGATCGCTATGTTTGCTGTCTCTACTGTGCTGCTCACAGTATACAAGGAACGTTGGTGACAATAGGGCCATTTATACGAGGAAAAGTAAGACGTGTCTCACATAAGATGCGTCTTAAATAAGACGCGAACTGTACCATTTATACGAGCATGTCTTATCTAAGACAAGAACAGCTCGTATAAATGGTTCGCGTCTTATTTCTGTTCTTGACTTGTTTTTATGTGAATGTTGCCTGTAGCAACAGCAATCCAACGTGGTGCACCAAAAATTAACGCATGCGTACTATGAGTTCGCGTCTTATGTAAGACGCGAAGGTCATTTATACGAATTTTTTCTCGTCTTAGCTAAGATGCATCTTATCTAAGAACAGGTGTTAAGGGCTGTTCTGAAATAAGACGCGTCTTAGCTAAGCCTCGTCTTATTTCAGATGAAATGTGTCGTTTATACGGAAAGTTCGTGTCTTATTTAAGATGCATCCTGTGTAAGACGCGTCTTATTTTTCCTCGTATAAATGGCCCTAATGACATCGAACTAAACATAATTATTCGGACTTAGAAATTCAAAGAAATAAGTTATCTTCCATAAAGTAGATGAGTCCAGACCTCATCTCAGTAGAAACCCCCAGTAATTTGATTCTCCCATAGGGATGACTAAGTCCTGACATTATGGATCGTAGCTAATGGGAGGTTTGACTGTATTATACAATTTAACAGAGAATTAGAACATTAGGATGTTATAACATGTGCTAAGACACCGAATGCAAACGTCATGAAAACAAGGATAATTACAGATGCTGCACTGAAAAGATGTCTGTAGTAAAAAAACCCATACCAACAAAGTGTCAGAATTATTGCTAATATGGGAAGAAATAACTTAGACAAGTCCAAATCGGCTTCTTGGTGATAAGTTGTTGATTGTTCATTCTCATCTGTTCTTCTTATGTCAGAAATCTGGGCGTGAAGTACTGAATAGTTCTCAATGCCATAAAAGGAGATAGGGGCAGTGTCATCTTGCAGTAAGCGCCCACTGTATATAAGCCGCACCCTTTGTCCACTGTTTAATTCATTCCGAAAGCACAATCTGCAGTGGAAGTAAGATAAGATACACAGACACATTAAAATAGTTGCGCACTTTGTAATATTGAAAAAATATATGAATACAACATATTTAAAAATGTAGGATTTTTCATGGACTTTACAAGGACTCAGGTATATTTTTCAGGATTGAAAAATGTGTTTTGCATTTTAGAATTCTTCCTTGGATTAACTCCCCAAGTCCGCCCTACCTTCTGAGTAATGTTACCTTTGTTTGCTAGAAACAGAACAAAATGTAACTCTTGTAAAATTATGCTCTGCTAACATGCCTTTTCACAGCCACTTGTCAAACTAAAAGGATGTTAAAAGTGACATTTTTNGTGTCAGAATTATTGCTAATATGGGAAGAAATAACTTAGACAAGTCCAAATCGGCTTCTTGGTGATAAGTTGTTGATTGTTCATTCTCATCTGTTCTTCTTATGTCAGAAATCTGGGCGTGAAGTACTGAATAGTTCTCAATGCCATAAAAGGAGATAGGGGCAGTGTCATCTTGCAGTAAGCGCCCACTGTATATAAGCCGCACCCTTTGTCCACTGTTTAATTCATTCCGAAAGCACAATCTGCAGTGGAAGTAAGATAAGATACACAGACACATTAAAATAGTTGCGCACTTTGTAATATTGAAAAAATATATGAATACAACATATTTAAAAATGTAGGATTTTTCATGGACTTTACAAGGACTCAGGTATATTTTTCAGGATTGAAAAATGTGTTTTGCATTTTAGAATTCTTCCTTGGATTAACTCCCCAAGTCCGCCCTACCTTCTGAGTAATGTTACCTTTGTTTGCTAGAAACAGAACAAAATGTAACTCTTGTAAAATTATGCTCTGCTAACATGCCTTTTCACAGCCACTTGTCAAACTAAAAGGATGTTAAAAGTGACATTTTTTAAACTACAATCCTGGCCAAAAGGTTTTGGGGCACCTCCCCTTTTTCACATGTTTTTCTATGGAATTTACGGCTAACCTGCGTTACACACTCATAAACACGGCCTTACCAAGATTTTTCCCCCACCTCCCCTCAACAAAGTTGAGGTCCTTAGCATATGCAAAATATGTTCAGAGTGTTTGACTTGTAACACCCAACACTATTCAGGGGGGGAGGGGGATCAACTTGAATTACATTTTCCTCACCTGAAACACAAATTGTCCCAAGCGTTTTGACCAGGATTTTAGATACATGTATTTAGATAAAACTGCAAGGTGTATCTGGTTATCAAGCTGCTGCAAATACCTTTTCAAATCCCCTACTTTCATTGTCCTATTTACTGATAAAGTTCTCTCATTCTCCATGAATTTAACCCGGATTGATATGCTCTCTCCTGGGGTACTACTTGTATTAGGGCTGTGTGAGTCTGGCATGCTTTCATCCCCTCGCCAGCGCACACCATCCGTAGTACTGTCCATCTGGGGAATGCTTGCATTATTAACTTGCTCTGGCGTAGCTTCAGTATCATTTCGGAGTGGTTCACTGCCTGTTGGGTTTGCAGCTATCATTGAACAACAAGAGAACGTTTTAGTTTATTCTTATGAATGAGAAAATTGGGACTGAAAAGACTGTCTTAAAGATTGCAAGAGTCCTTAAACTACAGCTGCTTACCTTTATATCTGTTTTGTTTTTCTGCAATTTTTTTATAAGAACCCTGACTCACTGAAAAGTGAAGCTAATCTGTTGAGAGCCACCTTACATGAGATAGGTCAAGTAACTTTAGTCAATTTGAAAGGCTAACCACTGGGTAAAGAGTTCACTGATACACAAAAATAACATTGAATGATGAAATAAAAAAAAGAAATACAAAAACAAAACAAAAGGGAGTCATAAACGTGCAAAATTGGACTGAAACCCCTCCCCCAGGGGGGAGGGGGGGGAACTAATGGGGATGTGCCGCTGGATGGGGTCGCATTTTTATGACTGGATTGACTATAATGGGGTCTCATTTTCAATAGAGTTACTAGAATGGGGTCGCACATTTTCAGAGTTTTGAGGTAAGAAAGTTCTTCATATTTAAGGGTAGAGGCAAGGTATCTTGACACCTGCTGATGGTGACCAAAGCATCTGCAGAAAATGCTGATCACTTACTTGCTCAACAAAATACATTGTATTCCTGTAGTGCTAAGTGGTTTTCACTTGGTGGGGGGGGGGGGGGGGGGTACACCGGTTAATTTTGGCTGGTTATGTCCGGCGGGTCTCTCAGGCACCCTACCCCATTATAGTCTACTCTGTGGCCAATTAAAGACCTTATCATAGTCCCTTAGCTTTTGGGCAAATGTAATTTTCACGATCCCAACTTAGTCACTTTCCATTTATGTATCTACCTTATCAATCCTTTAAATAGGTCATCAAAAAATGAATTGAGCCATTTCTTAAATTGAATGAAGAAACTTTACTTTTGGCCTACAGTACAAAAATTCTGGTATGTTTGCTTGGAATCTCACCAAGATAAGTGTGATCTTGCCAAGATGGTGCCAACTGCCACATTTGGCAACCCTCAGACATCATCGGAACATTTTCGGGAATCTTTGTTAATGTTCAGAAGTTGTTGGAACGTCCTCAGCACGGTTCGGAAGTCATCCGATTTTTTCGGACATTCAAAATTACTTAAAAAGGCAAAAATTGGAACACGTTATACGATACACAAACAGTTCAACATTTGTAGAACTGTGTGTCACTAACATTGGACTTGTAAGCAAGATTCGCAAAACTAACGGGTCCTGGGGGGATACGAAGAACAAAGTACATAAATAATAAAAGACGATATAAGCCTTATGCAATACATTATTGACATTTTCCTAGGCAGCTGTTTAGCCTACCTGGTCCATTCGATGAACCTCCTTCCGAGTTTTCCTCAGATGGTGAATAATGCATAGAGGCTGATGCTGTGTCAGGAACATTCTGTCCAGCATTTAAGTTAAAGCTTGGGCCCGAGATTCTATTCGAGTTATATAGGAAATGGACCAAAAATATTGCCACAAATGCCACGAACACAGCAAGAACAAAGAGAACTTCGTTGTCGATTCCTTCGATAATAGAAGCAGCCATTTGCGAGGGAGACTATTTCCACGGCTGTTTACATTTAAAAAGACATCGAAATATAAATGACAGAGATATCCATCAAGTTGATCCGTTTAAGCCCAAATTACGGAAAATCCGCGGATCTTCTTGGTGCAGGTGTGGAAATGAAAAACATGCTTTTGGTAAAACGACACTTTAATACTATTACATGACATTCCTTTAAAAATGAGATTGATAACTGCCCATTTACGGCAGGCTCAAGAGGAGTGGTGTGCAATCGGTGCAAAAATTTTTCTTGATCAAGATTAGAACGTCAGCCGGCGAGTGCAGGTGAGATTTACCGCTTACCGATTGAATTAAGTACTTTTAGATAACCTTCATTAGTTAACAAAGAAACGAGAAACAGTTTGTTGTCTTTAAAATACTTTATAGCTGGAAAATCTTCACTGGCTGAATTTGATCCGGAAACGGGGCTGTCTTAGGAATTTTATTGAGCGATCCCTTCGGAATTTTTCTTAAAGATAGTCTGCACGCATAATGTGACAATTTCACGAAGCCAAGGCCGAATTCCTCACCCCAGACAACAAATGCTTGGCAAGCTAAAGCCCTATAAGTAGGATAAATGTTCTTGATCAGAGATGTGGTCTCTGGAGACCCCACACTGTCAACTACCCTGGGGGGGTGGGTCTAGTGACCCACTACACCCCGGCGTACACCCCAGCAGGCTGTTGTGGAACCAGGGTCGTCCCCGGGCCAGTTGGTGGAGGAAGCCTTGCAAATTCTCCTGACAAGGCTTACAGGTGACATCACATTCAAAATAAGAGGATCGGAGGATCATGACCGGGGATGAGGCTTATGCGGAGTATTGTACAGTAGACTTCATTAAACAGGATTTAGTTTCAGCTGTCTACAAGACCTTAGCCTGTGTGGTAGGTATTCAAAAGGGAAGGGAAATGGGATTTTGGGCATGTGAGAAGTGCAAAGAATGTGCAAGGGGATTTCCCCTCCTCCCCCACGCCCAAATTCCCTTTCCCTTCCTCTTTGAACACCTGTCACGCAGGCTAACAAGTTATTTATATAATGTTATGTTCTATTCAACAGGCCTCATTTCACCAGTGTAATTTATCCAGCCTTGTATCATGAATGTAGAACATGAAGTGAACTTATTAGTCCAGGAAATCAAGCGCCTTGGTGCACCCAATGCTGATGGACAGGTGTCAGTCAAGTTTGGAGTGCTATTTAATGATGATCGTTGTGCAAACATATTTGAAGGTAAAAATTATCTTACTGATTGTCGAGTTGCGTATTACTGGTAAGCCTACTGCCCTAGTCCTCCTAATGACCAAGCATAAAAACTTGCAATATTATCATAAACATAAGAAATTCAAAACATCATGTTCTTATGGCGCTTAACTTCACATCAACATTATTTCCATTGAGGACTAGTCTCCAGTCAGGTCCTTCAAACTTCTCGCAAGGCTCCCCACTCCCCACCTTGTGGGGATGGGGAATATCACATGACTCTGGCATGTACAGCTACGAAGGAAACTAAGTGAGGACTAGTTCAACAAAATGCATAAGCTCAAGCAGCAAAAAAAGGCATTTGTGCAGACATAAGTAGCACCACTCTGTATGCTTTTGCACCATAGGTTTATCACAAGAGTCAGCATCCCTGTGCTGATGAACAGTTAGAGCACTTTCCAGGTTTTAAGAACTCTCAAGCGTCTGTGCTTCTCGTGTCATTTCTCTCATGTTCGTAAACCTGCATAACTTTCAGCAACTGAAAAATGTCCACACTTAATTTTTATTCCCATGTAAATCACCAAATGGGTTTTGTTTTTATTGCAGCCCTTGTGGGAACCCTCAAAGCGGCTAAGAGAAAGAAGATAGTGAACTACAGTGGTGAATTACTTCTTCAAGGTGTACATGACAATGTGGAGATTGTGCTGTTAAAAGATGAATGATCAGACATTTGCATTTAAATTTTACACATTACAGACTGATTAAAAGTTTTGCAATATTTAGATTGAATATCAATATTTCACAATTTTTGTAACTCTTTGTAGTTAATGCATAAGAGAAGCAAATAAACTATATTTTATAGAAGGATAACATAATTATGTTGTAAAGTACATGGGATATAAACTGAAGGGATGGCCTCAAAAAAAGTTTCAGTGACTATTGAGGAACTGCTGTTTCTTCTTCCCCATTGTCTGTATTGACACGTGAAGCAAGGGATTAATTCAAGAGTTAGTAACTGGGCGCCCTTTTTCTATGCGTCTCTTCATAATGAGTTATGCTCATCCAAGAAAGTTTCAAATATGGCTGACTCCCATGAGTATCATGGGATCACCTGAAGTGTGGTGGGCTAAGTTTACTGGGAACTCCTTAATGAACTAAAGTTACAAATCCTCTAGGGCGGACATGACGCCAACAAAGAAATCAACCAAATTGAGTTAAAAAACTAAGAAATCAGAATAGGATCAGAAGTTTGGGATAAATGCCTGTTAGAATCATTATGATAAACATTGCCTGTTCAAGGCATCTAGATGTTGGGGAACAAGTTAATCATATGTGCCTGCACTTGAATGCCTGGAACAGGCTTGAAAGATTAAGAACTTCCAGTTTAACTCCTAACATTAGCATGTATACTCTCCATGCTTTGCTCATGGTTGCATTTCCTGTACCTGGCAATAATTAGGACAATATTATTGATTTATTAAACAAAACCTTCCCCTTCATTGATCAATTGTCTTATTCTCATAACTTTTCATTTGACTCAGAAGTGATATAATTTATTAGAAGTAATTAGCATCTGGTCATTGTTAGGTCTTAAATTTTTAATAACATTCCACACAAGTTGCTTTAGCAATCAAAAATAACATTTTATTATAAATTTTATTCAACAGTGCTTAGACAGTGTCTACATTCTGCTCACATCTATCCTTGCTTGCAAATGCACATGTATGTCCAACTGTGTTTTCCCTCTCCCTGATTTTTCACCAGGGGAGAAGAAAAAGCCAGAAATATGCCTGTGTTTGCAGGCTAATTTTAAGTTTTCATTAAATATTTGATATTTTTCCTCCTGGGCAATACACAGTAAACTGAAATAAGTTAGTTTCTATAACAACATGATTTTAAATCTACTAATTTAATGGCTGCAGCTGCCAGATTGGAATTCATATTTTGTTTCCCCGCACTACTATTCAGCTAGAGTGTAAAAGAAAAAAATTATTGGTACTGGCATCGATAAACACTCTTCAAGCACACACTTCCTTCCGGTTTTAGAATGCGCCATCATAAAAAAAATGCACTAAACATTTAACAAGTGTTTCAACACCAGTTGTGAAAAATGGCTATCTCCAATTTCAAAGAAGAAATTATAGGACCACATGCACCATAAAGCTGAAAAATGCTGAATTCCTGAAAAAGTCTACTTACTCTAGCTGCCCCACAAGGATTTAAACAATAGCCAACTTTTGAATATCTCTAGAAGAAGGGAACACCCCTGAAAAATGGACCATGAAATAGAGTTGATCCGTCATTGTTCTCCAGTTGTTTTTAAATTTGCTATGTTTAGGGGGACACATCTACTGGGGAGGGGGGACCCACATGACAGGGGCAGGGGATGCTCGTCTTTTAAATTTTGAAATTTGGTCTTACTTAGGGTTTCCTGGGCAAAAAGCCATCATATTTAGCCACAAAGGTCTCTTTTAGGGTTGCACGCGAATTAATATAAAAAAAATTATATGATTTTAATTCGTTTTATTTACTCGATTCATGTAATCAAAGTTTAAAATGGTCTCTTCATATGATCTTTTGGGGGCCAAAAAAAGTTGGGCCATGCCCAGATTAGTTTCCTTTAGGGGTTTAATTCAATTCCCGACGAGCATCCCCGCCCCCTTCATATGGGAGTCTCCCCCAGACCCATCTCTGTGAAAGCAACTTAGTGTCACTCATCCACTTTAACCCTTTAAGCCCCAATATCCACATACAAATTCTCCAAACTGATCTCCATACATTTCCTTCATGAAAGAGTTGAGAGAATTTGATAAAAGATCAAAGCATTTTCCCTTAGGTGATCATTTTATTAATTCTCATAACCTAATCTCTTGACATTGTATGGATATGGTTAGGAGANTGGTACTGGCATCGATAAACACTCTTCAAGCACACACTTCCTTCCGGTTTTAGAATGCGCCATCATAAAAAAAATGCACTAAACATTTAACAAGTGTTTCAACACCAGTTGTGAAAAATGGCTATCTCCAATTTCAAAGAAGAAATTATAGGACCACATGCACCATAAAGCTGAAAAATGCTGAATTCCTGAAAAAGTCTACTTACTCTAGCTGCCCCACAAGGATTTAAACAATAGCCAACTTTTGAATATCTCTAGAAGAAGGGAACACCCCTGAAAAATGGACCATGAAATAGAGTTGATCCGTCATTGTTCTCCAGTTGTTTTTAAATTTGCTATGTTTAGGGGGACACATCTACTGGGGAGGGGGGACCCACATGACAGGGGCAGGGGATGCTCGTCTTTTAAATTTTGAAATTTGGTCTTACTTAGGGTTTCCTGGGCAAAAAGCCATCATATTTAGCCACAAAGGTCTCTTTTAGGGTTGCACGCGAATTAATATAAAAAAAATTATATGATTTTAATTCGTTTTATTTACTCGATTCATGTAATCAAAGTTTAAAATGGTCTCTTCATATGATCTTTTGGGGGCCAAAAAAAGTTGGGCCATGCCCAGATTAGTTTCCTTTAGGGGTTTAATTCAATTCCCGACGAGCATCCCCGCCCCCTTCATATGGGAGTCTCCCCCAGACCCATCTCTGTGAAAGCAACTTAGTGTCACTCATCCACTTTAACCCTTTAAGCCCCAATATCCACATACAAATTCTCCAAACTGATCTCCATACATTTCCTTCATGAAAGAGTTGAGAGAATTTGATAAAAGATCAAAGCATTTTCCCTTAGGTGATCATTTTATTAATTCTCATAACCTAATCTCTTGACATTGTATGGATATGGTTAGGAGAAAATTGATGTTAGTCACTATTGGGACTTAAAGGGTTAAAGAATTAGTTGAGAGAATTTGATAAAAGATCAAAGATTTTTCTCTTTTTGATCATTTTATTAATTCTCACAGACTTTGTTCTTGACAATCTATGGATATCGTTAGGAGAAAATTGATGTTGGTCACTATTGGGACTTAAAGGGTTAAGAGCAACTTGACTATATTTTTTGTTGTATACTGCTGTTTTATCCCAATCCTTGTTAATATCAGCACCCTATTAACATAGTGCTCTGTCTGTAGTTTGATGTAAACGAGTTTAACTATCCAGTAGTCTTGAATGGAAATGGAAATCTACGAAGCTGGCAGTCAAACTCCAAGGGAGAGTATAGATCTTAGAGAAGAACAATCTCTGATGCCAGCTTTATATCTTGGTAGCCATGCATAGGAACCAAAAATTTATGTACAAGATGGCATTTGTGGTCCTACAAAGTGCTCATTCATTGACATTTTGTGCAATGTAGTTTCTGAGAATGAACCTAAACAAAACACAAGCAAATGGTCATAATTTGTGAAGTTTTATTTTTTTATCAGTAGTACATATGACTTAGCTTTGAATATTATTAATGTATCTACCTTGGGTTATTGGATTTCATAGCTTTAACCCTTTCCATGCTGGCCTGCAAGATGAAAGTGCAAAAAATTTTAAACAAAATAAACAATATTATTTCACCTTCACAGAAGCTGCAAGTTTGATTGAATACAGACCCTCTAAAGAATAAATTTGGTAAAATTATTTTTATAAGTAATGTATCTTAAACAACTGCTGTATTTTTATTTTAATAAATAAATATGATGAATGATTATTATGATACAAATGATTTAATTTTATTAATTGAAACTGGGAAAACATACCATCTCTTGATCTTGCACATTTTGAAAATCAGCATTTAGTCTGGACCTGAAAAATAATACCGTAGTTAATTTAACAAAATTTTTAATGTCAAAAAGCTCAACTAGCATAAAGATGCAAATAGTTTTGTTGCTTCACCTATATTTTTCAATCCATTCTTGCCACAATTTTCTATCTTTTGCTCTTTTCTCCTCTGGTTTTAACTCCTGCAAAATGGACGTTTACTAGTAAACAGTTGTGCATTGACAGAGAACTTTTAAACAGGTGTTAGGTACTATACTAGAAACTTACAGACAAAGAAGATATGCTATATTTGGGTCTTAAATCAGTGAGCCAGAAGTGTCTTAAAAAGGTGTCTGCTCAATTCACTGTTTGCATATCTCCCATTATACCTTGTTTGCCCCCCCCCCTGCAAATTTTGCATAACCATTTTTCTTGGGTATTACAGTCATTCCAAGAAGAACTGAAGACAATGCTTAAATGGAAAATGTTGGGGGGCAAACAAGGTGTATTATGTGAGAGTTGCAAAATATTAGAGAATGCTAGTGTCTGTTTTAAAAGGATTGCACTGTTACTATAAAAAAAACAATAGTAAAAACCTTCATGTGACATGTGCTTGCAACCATCTTGTACACTAGGAAAATAAGGAAAATAATAAGGAAAATATCTATCTTACATTCATTTTCTCCACTTTCTCTCTCCTTTCCAGTTCTTTCTGAATCAATGTTGCTCCTCCTCCCAGCTGTTCCAGGAGACTAGGGCTATTCTGAAGTAACATCATCAGCATCTGGAACTCTCTAAGATGGAGAAGAATCATAAATTATATTGAATGTAAGATTCAGACACTGACTCCTACCTACATCACTTGAAAAATGTGAAATTGGAAAAATATGACCTGACAAATTCTAAAAATAAAGGACAAATTGAGATAACTTTTAGTGTTATTTGACATTTCAAAGCAGCTTCAAGAATGAAAAAGTAGTTTAATAAACCCCCAGAAACCCATAAGGGGTTGAAATGTGTAACTCGC